ACTGTTGCATCGCGCGCCAGGTGGCGGACATGCGTCGTGACCTCCTTCGTCTCCTGGGCGTGGGCGAGTTCTCCAAAGATGCTGTCTGGGTTCCGCCCTACATCACCGTCTCACCGGAGGTACCAGACAGTCGTCGCTCTCTCCTCGTCTACCTGCCGGAGGTCACCTGCAGCACCTGCAATTCGATTCGTGACCTAGACGTGTGCAGAGACACGCATTTAACTTTTGTGCCGGCTACTAGTGGTGGCAGTGGTTACTGGTTACCCATCTGTCCCCACTGTGGATCGCCCTATCCCCGATCGAAGCTCGAGGCAGGACTCATATCGCAGGTCGAACAGACGGTCCTGCAATTTACTCTTCAGGTAAAACTGTCGTTGCGTCGAATTTGTCTTGATGTATTTGTGCATTTTTTACTGGGAAAAAGGTTTAGCCTTGTTGCAGACCTCCATTTCTGAACTCAGCACTCCTTTTGAAGTCCTGTCCAAGCTCACTGCTACTGAAGAAACAGCACGTTTAATACCTGCTCTCCCCAGAAATGCTACTACTGTCAGTAGTAATGGCAACAGAAACAATAACATTAGATCGGTTTTCATTCGCGTATGCAGCTAGAAGCCCGTACCGGCCTGCATTGCCTCTTCAATTATTTGTTTACTTGACAAGCCACTTTCTGCTCGCTACGCCTACCCATTGATGTTAGATGTTTCTCGATTCGCTCGTTTTACCCTACTATTCTATTTGCTTTTTATGTTTGTTCACTTGGTCATTTTTCGAGACTACCCTCCTTTTTGCCTCGGTAGGATCTGCGCTGCCCCAACTGTGTCATCGGCGGCGGCATTCAGGAATCCGTTCTAGCGAAGGGTGGTTCTGTAGGACGTTGTGCTGACTGCGCTTCTCCCTTGGAGCTCACCGTCGCAGCCGGTCAAGCCCTATCTCGTAGACTGGCTGTTTTTTCTGCTATTGGCCGTTGCTTCAATCTTCGCAGCTTGGAACAAATGGCTAATTGGTTGGGTCAAGGTCAACTTGGTGGCTTCGTCTGAAGCAAATGCCCGTCATCTCGAAAACCGGGAAATTCTTCTCGTGTGCATTTCTGACATTGCATTTTCTGTCTTCTTCCACGCAGTTTTATTACTACTATTTTACTATCCAGTTTTTATAGCGAGAGTATTTTTTTTTACCTTTTTTGAAGAATCAGATCCTCAATTTTGTATATTTGTTAAAGATTTTTAACTGCCCACGGGCAAGGCATTTCCGAATTAAACATTTTCCATTATTTGTATGCATCCGTGTTTTTGCGTGAATATAGGTATCGTAATCAACTGTTTCTCTCTTGTTGTAGTTTTCATCTAACTTCCTACATTTTATACCGCTTTAAGGCTTGCTAACTGTTCCGTGTGTATTTTTGAGAACACCGCTTCGAGACGCTTTTCGTCTAGTGAACAAAAAATATCTTAGTTTGATCGCAGACATTGCTCTAAAGTAAATTCGATTTCTTCGCCATGCTTCGTACATACAAGCCGCACAGTTAATCCATTGGCTTGCTTTCTGTCACCTGAGTTCTTAACTATTCAGCCATATAGGAGTGCGTTAATCGTTCTATCCCGATAGCAGGGTTGAAAGAATAGAGCGTTTGGTTCGAAAACGCGGCTGCCAGACGAACCCACTTTCAGGTATTAGGTTACTCTCACCTCCTTCCACTGCTGCAAATCGGCAGTGCTGGCTAAGGACTGCAGTCAAAACATAAATAAGCTTTCCATTCTTTCTGGTATTCGCTGGTTGTCTGCTAATACACTAAAACCTGACAATCCGAAAACAGCTGTCTGTCGAGTCATGTTACAGACGTGCTGGGCCCTTGAATTTCGAAGGCGTTCCGGCAAAAATTGTTCATTGACGAGGTAAGTAGGCCGCAGTCGTGCAATAAATAAGAAACACCGAAGTATAGTACGTGTAACCTTCCTGAATCATAGCTGCCTACCGTGAAAGAACGTATACTTCATCGTAAGGCGAATAACGGCACAGTAATATCTGCCGATGGAAGCGAATATGCGAGTTACAAGAAGCAGTAAAGAAGAGGAAGATGCTATCACTGGACCAAGCATTTTATTTTCCTGACGTTTTGGATTCTGTTGAGAATTATTAATCATAAGTAACCGTAGAATTGTGTGAGGCATGCACTGATTCACAGCATGTCTGCGCAAGTGTCACCATTCTACGATTACCTATGATCAAGGATTCTCAACAGAATCCGAAACTTCAGAAAAATAAAAATTCTTGTTCCAGTGATCGCATTTTCTTCTTCTGAACAGTCTGTCTTTCGTTCCTTTAGGTTATAAAAACACCCTGTCGCGCATTTTGTCTAAACTGTGTAACATTACGTTACAAGTCACTGTACGATAGGGTTACGGTAACTTTTTTCGGTGAATAATGTTTTCTCTTCAGCGACTCAATGACACCAGAATTAACTTTGTCATGTTACTAACTTCCGTGGTTCTCCGTTTTCGTCTGTAATCTCGCCCATTTTACATGACACCTCAAATCGAGTAGCAAGGGGAGCATCGGCTCCCAATTTTCTCTTATGCAGACATTTGAAATCCACCAGTAGTTTGTCGTCTTCATTTGACATTCACAATTGTAACACCGGCTCCTGATCTTGGGTACTCTCTATTTGGTTGCTTAAGGGCACAGGAAACACGTCATACACGAAGGACGTTCATAGAACACTCTACGCCTTGGAAGTCCTTACGCATTTACTACTTTGGTTCCCAACTGTCTGGAGCCGCGCGTTGCGTACAAGCACACGAGTGCTTCTTGAGATTTTCATATCTGACTACAACATATGACATTAAACCTGCATGGACGAAAAAATCAAGTCAAACTTGAAGGATCATACTCAATAGGCATTCATTAAAATTTTCAGTTCGTGGGCAGCATCAAGAGCAGACACGGGATGTTCGTTTCTATGTTGAGGGGTCTACAAGCCTCACCCCGAACTTAGCCGGGTGGAATAATGCGATAATTTGCCATCAGCGTCGTAGTGCATCTCCCAATTACGTAAAACTGAGCAAGGTGGTTTTGCAGGCATCTAGTCTACAGGAACTGTTTGTTTATCTCGGTCGAAATCCAATTTACCACTTAGCATATCATCAAAAGGAAAAACTTGGAATATCCTTTCAGTGGCATCTTTTCTGTTCTCCTTCTTTCTACTTACCTAATGTGGTAATATATTATTACTAGGAACCCCTACAGGGAATTCGGAGAATTTAGCGAAAAAAGGCCCTGCAAGAAATAATATTGTTCTGGATATCGCTTGCATAAGTAACCGAACAAATGTTTGTTCATAGCCGACATTTTACCCTGAAGAAACTGATGTGTAAACCGGTCTTCTCGTAGTCAGCGCTAGTGCACAATTTGGCCCCTCCGAATATTGATAAAGGTTTATTTCAATATTCACCTCCTAAGGAATAGCCAGCTTACTCTGAGTATCTTTTCAGTCGTCTAGGCAAACTAAACCCGCAAAGAAAGTTCCGGCCTTGGTCATCAAATCAACCCTATCTGCCACCTGGGACATGGAGCCCATGTATACGCATACGACGTAGATGGTCTATAAACGGTCATGCGTGCATCAACGATCTGCCTTTTGTCATCATCTCACCACCTGGCATTCCTCGTCGCTACGGATGGGGTATTTATTTAAACAAGGATGGTCGCACACCGATCCAAAGACTTCCTGAAGCAAACTTGACCATATTAATATCGGTATTCAATTAGATTTAAAAAAGCTACTAGTCACGCATTTTAACTGAGGTATATAACATACAGTCACAAGTGACTTTTAAGCGTATCCTAATGTTCGTGGAATTCTTTAAGACCCGCGGAGTACGTTGTATACTCTATGAACCTTGTGGGATAACTATGCACATACGTAACAGGTTGCATAACTGCACATTTTTGATCGGAATATAGAGAAGGCGTGCCCTACAAAATAAATGTAACCACTGCGTTTGGATGCAGCTTCGAGGAAGATTATCGAATGTATGCAGACATGAAAAGTCAGTGAATTTTCAAGTGGGAAAGGTGTTTATTTAAAATATACCATAATATTCCAGAAGAGTCGACCTGCAGTGATGTTCTTTACGATTCAGTGTTGCGATCTCAGTTATTTAGTTTTTTTAAATCTAAAATCTATCGAGCGATTTTCGTTATAATGTCAGGAGTTCCAGCATAAGGAGTAACATCCGGTACGGCTGGAGACATTTTCGCAACAATCATCTTATCGAAAGTTCAGGTACGGCTAACATGTCTACTATCTTATAAAAGTAGTTGTTTCATGGGATTCACGATTATTTGCTCAGTTGTAAAGAAGCACGATTTTCTTCCCATAACTTTTTTATAGGTGCATTCAAAATCGAGAGGCGTGAGTAGCTAGCATAAATAATTTGTTAACGATGGGAGCCGTCGAAATTAATCGTCAACATGAACACTCTTCTTCATCAGGATC